ACCTTCTTGGATTCTTATTACCCAAGTTACTAAGAATATTACCAGTGGCATACAGGGAGCTTAGTCAATGAGCGGTCAGAAAAGGTGTTTCCTCTGTAGTTCACACAAATCCCCCAGATCCGCGCCTGTCCAGACCTCAGGCCTCTGGCCAGGCGTTAAGCCTGGGCAGGGGACCCCCAGCCCCATGCGATCGCAAGCTCCACCCCTGCCCAGGCCAGAGGGGTGTTAGGCCTAGGTAGGGGACCCCCAGCCCGCTCTGATCACCGGCTCCGCTCCTGCCCAGGCCTCAGGCCTCTGGCCGAGCCTTAGACCTGGGCAGGGGCCCCCTCGGCTCTGATTGCAGGCTCAGGCCCTGCCCAGGAGCCCCCTGGCTCAGGCCCTGTTAGGCCTAGGTAGGGGACCCCCCAAGCCGGCTTCTGATCACCGGCTCCGCTCCTTGCCCAGGGCTTCAGGCCTCTGGCCGAGCCTTAGACCTGGGCAGGGGCCCCCTCGGCTCTGATTGCAGGCTCAGGCCCTGCCCAGGAGCCCCCTGGCTCAGGCCCTTCCTAGGCTGCTCAGGGCCCACACGGGGCCTTCCTCGGAGTGACCTGGGTGCCCTACGATGTTTCCGGGACCCAGGCCACTGGTGCCTAGTATGCAAATTAGCTGCCACCTTAGTTGGGTTAATTTGCATATTTGCTCCTGATTGGCTGATGGCCATGGCTGGGGTCAATTTGCATGTTTCTCTTTTATTAGATTAGACTAGACTAGAGGCCTGGTGCACAAAATTTGTCCCCTGGAGCGCCGGGGGGGGGGGGGCGGGGGAGAGGGGGGGAGATCCCTCTTGCATTCCAGGACCCCTCGCTCCTTACTGCCTGCCTGCTTGCTGCTCCTTAGCACTGCTGTGGAGGCAGGAGAGGCGCCTGCCACCACTGCTCTGCTCGCCAGCCATGAGCCTGGCTTCTGGGTGAGCAGCACTCTCTCTGTGGGAGTGCACTGACCACCAGGGGGCAGCTCCTGCATTAAGCGTCTGCCTCCTGGTGGTCAGTGTGCATCATAGTGACCGGCTGTTCCGCTGTTCCGTCGATTTGCATATTAGGGTTTTATTATATAGGATTACCACTCTGGTAAATTCGAATTACCTCATGCCTATCTACTGCTATAGCTATCTGAGCTCCCCAACTCCTCACTCCACATCTCTAATGATGTATGTTCATACCTCACTGCTACAGTAAGTTGCCCAAAATGTAATTTTCTCTAAGTCATACTTCCTACCCTTACCAAGACTTCTACCACATGCCTACAGAAGTATTAGTTTTCTATTAATCAGCTTTTCCAGAAATATCTTTTAATTCTTTCTTTACCTATCAAAATTCTACTGATTTTTCAAAGCCCAGTTCAAACAACCCCTCTAATTTCTACTTCTACTTCTCAGAGCTATAGAACCCTGACTAGAAAGTAATAATTTACTCCTTTGGCATTCATCACTTTTATCTGGCAATGTTGGTTATCATTACTCATATTATATATATATACACACACTTTAATGATATGACTATAAACAGAGGATGGGACCATGTTCTTTTTTTCTGATTTTGTCTTTCTGACTTTCTGTTACTGTTTAACAGGGACAAAAAAAAAGTAATATCTTGTAGAATAAAAATAAGTGCCTTAAATTAGAAGGAACATATTCTTACAGTCAAAGGAATTGAGATCAGAAGGAACCTTAGGGATGAACTGGCACTTGAGATTGATTTTTAAAAGTTATAGGTCTCCACAGCAGAGAAAAAGAGGAAAAGCATGCCAGGAAAAAAAAATAACATGAATAGAAAGGAGAGAAAATATAGGACAATTTCAAATCATTGGCTGAAGTGCATTATACATATAAGGGTAGACAAGAAGAAAATTAAACATCTGTTCAATAAGCAATGCTAAAGATTTTCATAATTTTAGGTATGTTGATCTTAATCAAGAGCCTCATTATTTTTTGCTTAAAACAATTAAGAGTATCATAATCATCTCCCTGCTTTGGGCATCTTCCCCTTCCAAACTATCATTCATATCACTGCCAGATTAATTTTGATGAAATATAATTATAATCCAAAACACCTGTTAAAAATTTTCAAAGATGGCCAACTACTCAAAAAATAAAACCTAAACTCCTAACCATGGCATTCAAAGTTATTCACAATCAACATCTTTCCAGCCTTGTACATCAAACCCTCTCTTATATAATGAATTCAACAAAATGTTTTCTTCTGTCTTTTATATATTCCACACATTTCAAACTTCCCCTGCTTATGTTGGGCTCTGTGCATGAAATTCCCTTGCCTCCCAGAAATCTTCTACTCAGTGGTCAAGATTCTACTCAAACGCCACTTCCTCTTTGCAGCTCCCCACTTCTCCCCCCGATAGTTTCTCCTCTAATATTGGTGAAGCCTTTCTATGTGATGCCACTACACTTTCCAATTTCATACAGCACTTTCCAAACTGCACTAGAATGAACTGTTTGCATACTCATCTCTAAACATATTCTTTGAGGCCCTAGCTAAGGAGCTCAGTTGGTTAGAGCAGCGGTCGCCAACTTTTCGGACCTCACGGACTACTAGCAGACCACTGGTTGGCGACCACTGCTCCAAAGGTTTCCTTAAACCAGCGGTTGCCAACCTTTCGGACCTCACGAACCACCAGTGGTCCATGGACTACCGGCTGGCGACCCCCAATGTTGCAGGTTCAATCGCTGGTCAGGGCACATACAAGAATCAACCAAGAATGAATGCATAGTAAGTGGAACAACAAATCGGTGCTCTCTCTGTCTCTCTCTCAAAATAAATAAAAGCATATCCTTAGCTCTGGCCGGTTTTGCTCATTGGTTAGAGTGCCAGGCCGAAGGGTCACGGGTTCGATTCCCAGTCAAGGGCACATACCTTGGTTGCAGGCTTGGTCCCTGGCCCCGGACAGGGTGAATGTGGGAGGCAACCAATCAATGTGTCTCTTTCATATAGATGTTTCCTCTCTCTTTCCCTCTCTATTTCTCTCCCCCTCCTCGCCTCCCTCCCTTCTACTCTCTCTAAAAATCAATGGGAAATTATCCTCAGGTGAGGATTTTTTTTTAACGTGTATGTCTTATCTATTTTTTAAAATGTAGATCCCTGAAGAATTCAAACCTTTACCTGATAATTTGAGTCTCAAAATGAATTTGAAAATAATGAATATGATTTCTCTGTACATATTCTTTTAGAATAATTTCTTTCTCTTATCCCTGGTCTTATTACAGTTCCTACTTCTTTAAATTAAATACATTCTATCTCCAAAGATCTAATATTCTAAGATAATTTTATCCTAAAATCTAAATGTCTGAATGTTTCAGAAAACATTCATTTTAACATAATCTTCCATTCTGAACTCTGCTTAGTCATCTTTAGTGGGAATCTATACATATAAAAGGCTAAGTGACCAACCGTTCACTTGTCCGACCGACCGATACATATGACGTGCAATGACAATTTAAAAATAAACGTTGACTTGCACATGCGCGATATATATAAATCTCTCGCTGTTGCCCATCACGCACATGTTTTAATTTTATAATACTCTAAAAGCCTGGCACACAAAATTCATGCATGGGTATGGTCCCCAGGCCTGGTCTGCGATCAGAGCCATCTTCCCTGGCTGCCCATAGGCAGCCCCAACCCCTGCTGCCACCCCACCCTCAGAACCCCATTTTCCATTGGGTGATGGGAGCCTGCCGGCTGGGGGGAGTAACCAAGAGTTCAGCCATTTCCGCCTGCTTGCTGGACCTGCCCCTGCTGCAGGTTGCCCTCTGTGTGGGGGGCAACTGGTGGGGTGGGGGCCTTGGCCTGGCACCACCTGCATCCCCCGCCATCCACCCCTGGTTCCGTTTGCCATCAGGCGATAGGAGCCTGCTGGCTAAGAAAAGGGACCAAGAGGTAGTCAGTGTGCCTCGCAGTGACTGGTTGAACGGTTGTTCTGGTCATTCTGCCATTAGGGTCAATTTGCATATTACTGTTTTATTATATAGGATGTTATATATACTATTTTGACATGTAATTTTTTGCAGTAATGTAATAACCACATGAATCTTTTTTCTAATTAATTTCCTTTCAATGTGCACGAATTTGTGCAATGGACCACTAGTCTATACTAATAATAGAGGAATATGCAATTTGTCTAGGATGCTGTCACATAATGACCAATCAGGACAGGGGCGGGGGCAGGGGCAGGGTTGCAGCGGAGAGTTCTCAGCAGGCCTGCGCCGGGGGTCCGAAGGGCACGGAGAGGAAGGGAGAGCAGATAGGCAGTTAGGGTGATCAGACCAGGAGGGGAGAGCAGATAGACAATTAGGGGGATCAGGCCAGGAGGGGAGAGCAGATATGCAGTTGGGGCGATCAGGCCTGGAGGGGAGAGCAGATAGGCAGTTAGGGGAATCAGGCCAGGAGGGGAGCACAGATAGGCAGTTAGGGCGATCAGGCCAGGAGGGGAGAGCAATTAGGGGGATCAGGCCAGCAGGGGAGAGCAGTTAGGCAGTTAGGGGATCAGGCCAGGAGGGGAAAGCAGTTAGGCAGTTAGGGGAATCAGGCCAGGAGGGGAGAGCAGTTAGGGCCATCAGGCTGGCAGGCAGTTGAGCGGTTAGGAGCCAGTGGTTCCGGATTGTGAGAGGGATCCCCAGATTGGAGAGGGTGCAGGCCGAGCTAAGGTACCCCCTCCCCCCAATGCACAAATTTCGTGCACCAGGAATCTAGTATATAATTATATACATAATTTAGTGCTTATTTTCTACAGTTAAAGAAAGTGTTATTAGTAATAAATGGATAGTTTTTATTCCTAAAGAGGTTCAACATTATTAGGAGAGGAGAATATATTAAAACTACTTATGATTCATAAGGAAGGTGATTAAAGAAACAGTTAAAGGTATAGCAGTGATTTAGAACTATTTTCAATTGTTAAAAAATGATTGTTTCACATTATTCTAATTATTTTCTTAAAAGTCTTTTCCTTACCTCAGAGATGTACTAGAGATAAAACTGTGCTTCCAATTTTCTCCAAGCAGCTTTGACCTATGCTTCCATCTCATGAATTCCAAGACAGTATTAAACTGATGCATATTTTCATAAATCTGTTTAGGAAAAAAGAACTTATTTCAGACTGAAAAAACTTTTATTTGTCAAAACAACACACATAGAAACAATACTAAAAATTCATCATGTGTAAAACTATATACTTTCGATGTAAATTCAATGAAAAGTTCGACAGTATTTTAGAAACTTATCACTTTACCATTTCCCAACCTCTACCCAAAGAAGTGTCCCATTTTGAGTATTTTTATCTTTAAATAGACCCTGGCCAGATGGTTGGAGCGTTGTTCGGTACACCAAAGGTCTTGGGTTCGATCCCTGGCGGGCGAGAACATGAGGCAACCGATAAATGCTTCTCTCACATCAATGTTTCTCATTCTCTCTCTTCCCCCCTGCTCTCTAAAATCAATAAAAATATATTCTTGAGTGAGAATTTAAAAGAACCATGTGTATTTAAAACAAAAAAAGTAATAGTTCTATGGAAAAAATTACATGTAAAATTTCTGAAGTGGCTCAGGCCTTTGAAAAAAAAATCATCTCAAATTGAAAAAACAGAAACAGCTAGAAGCAGCACCAACATTTATAATTGTACAACATTCAGATTCCTCCCTAGACAAAAATATATTTGAACACCTAGCTAGTACCCCTATTTTTTCACTTTGTTTCTTTTAATCCTCACCCGAGGATATTTTTTCCATTGATTTCTAGAGAGAGTGGAAGTGAGGGAGGAGGGGAAGAAAGAGAGAGACACATCGATTGGTTGCCTCCTGAATGCACCCCTACCAGGGCTGGGGAACCTGCAACCAAGGTACGTGACCTTCAGTCCCGTGGGCCTATGCTCTAACCACTAAGCAACCAGCCATGGCCCTATTTTCACTCTTTATCACAAAGTTTCAGTAAGCACTTTTTTCATTTCGGTCAAACTTCCACCTAGAATATTAGGAATTGTGAGGGTTAAGAATTAATTGCACAGCGTGTCTAAATCACGGGATAGGTTTCAACTACGTGACTACCCTCCTGCATTAGTACACTCCTGCATTGAGAGACAATATTCATAAATCTAAACAATGGAAACAAAAATGTTAAAGATAGGTGTGCTGTTTCCTTAGAAGTCTTAAAAATAGTTCCTTCAAATGTGTCTTTTAACTAAAACTTCAAACAGCAAATACTGTTTCATATTTAAAAAGTGAAAAGTTTAAGCTGTACGAACATTACCTATGCCCCATTGCAAGGTCAAAGTGCCTTTGTCTTCCAGTCCATTTAGAAGTATCATGTATGTCACACTGAGCTTTGGTAAGTAGTCTTGCCAATAATGACTAAATTCATGTAAATGGGCAATCTGAACCTGTCTCCATATCAGATAACAGCCTTTCTTACAGTCAAGCGTCGCCCCTCAGCAGGAAGGCTGCCGCAGAGCTGTGCAAATCTTACCGGTGGACAGACTCCCGGGAAAGCAATCAGGAATGCTTTGCCTGCATTCAGGAGCCTTAACAGTCTTCTCAATGCACTAGTTAGCTACAACTTAACCAGGTCCGTAACATTTTTCTGGGTAAGACTCCAACCATCACTCAGAAAAATGACCCAGGGCTGGAATGGAGACTTGGTGTTAAGGTCTTTTACATTATTTTTTTCTGAGACATTCAGTCTTAAAATGTTCCCTTATACTAAAAATAAATAAATACATTGTGTTTCCATTTTAGAAATGGCATAAAGATTTTCCTCCAAACTCACTCTTTGCTAACAACTCCATTCTTCCCTAAGGGTGTGTATGGAAAAAGAGAGTGGAGCAGATGAACCTATTCTCATAAAGGTTAAAACAGTCCATTAAAGTGACAATGTTTAAAAATATATGGACTGATTCTAATTCCACCAGATATTTCCAATGGATCAAATAATAAATAAAATGAACATGCAAACCACTTACCAATCACTGCTTATTACAGCACTATTTATTACAACAGTTTCCTTGGTGTGAAAAAAAAGTTTAAAGCTTAACTTTAAAAAGGGAGGAGGGGAAGAAAGAGAGAGACACATCGATTGGTTGCCCAGGGCTGGAATGGAGACTTGGTGTTAAAGGTTAAAAAGTCTATAATAAAGGGAAATATACTGTCTTCAAAGTCCAAGATCCTGAATCATCTATCCTCCCTCCATTCTCTTACATGTACAAATCTATGACAAAACATAAACTTCAGAAAACTTTTCCTAAGGGCTGTTTCAGACCAGCTAAGTCACATTGGACTCCTTTACTAAGAGGTAAATAAAGGCAATTAAAATGACAGAGTGTGCTTCACAGAAGGTACAGATCTGCAAATCCCTTTTTGCAAACCAGAAATTCTGTGAATGAAGAAAAGCTTTCCCTACTTTGCAGTACAGTGCTACAGTCCTATAAACCGAGGTGCAAACACACACATGTGCAGAAATGAGATTTACATGGGCAAAATGTCCCCAACAACTTTAATCACTTAGCTTTCAAGGTAATTTACCACAAGCTTTCAGCCTGATGAACTTGTGTTCAACAACCCTAAGACATCCAGTCAAGACCGAACACTAAAGCTAGTATAAGTAATACAATTTTCATCGAAGATTTAATGTCTAAAATTTCAAGCCTGTAAGTTCTAGGGAACACATTAAGGAAAAGGTAATTCTTTTAAAAACACATCAGAGCTTCTTAATGACTCAGAATTCATGAAAATTAAACCTTTCCAGATATATAGTCTAATATTTTGCAATACAAAGCTAACATTAGAATTTTTACTCAGTGAGCATCTGCAAACAAATGGGGAAAGTTCATTTTAACCCACATTGCCTTTACAAAATATCTTCTTTTGCCATCAAAATGTACACATCCTTTTTGGTTCTCCAAATTATTAAAGTGGTTAAATCTTAAACCACTGAGGTGATTTAAAAATCACCTCACAGGGTGCTTTAAAGAGCCCATCAGTGACAGACATCAATTGGCTCTGAAGTGTTACAACATCACCCATTAACTTCTATATTAACAAGATTTACTTTCTAGAAAATAATAGCATAACTATGCTTTTGAGAAATATACTAAGTCTAAGAAAACTTTAAGATGATTTTTGATTTTGTACTAGATGTCAAAAAATAGATTTCTTAGTATTCACAAAATCAGCAATATTGACTATACATTTTTCCTTCCACCACTCCAAATCCCGTCTGCCTCATCTTCATTTTCCTTTTCTTAGCACCCATAAGAAGCACCCCACACTTACTGCACAAATACTGTTGTAAACACTACAGCTGCATTTACAGAACCATTAAAAAAAAAAATAAGAACTGGCCCTGGCCAGCTAGCTCCGTTGGTTAGAACACTGTCCTGATACGCCAAGGTTGTGGGTTCAATCCCAGATCAGGGCACATACAAGAATCAATCAATGAAAGCATAAATAAATAAGTGGAACATCAAACCCCTCCCTTGCCCCCCCCCCCCCCCCGCCCCTCTTTCTTTCATTCTCTAAAAAAAAAAAAGAAAAAAAAAGCAATCAATAAAAATAAATAAGAACCAAATTACCAAATAATATTTTACAAAACATTTCATTTGGCTCTTAAACTAAAGGTATTACTGTTAAAACCTTTGGTACATTAAATGGAAAATTAAAACATTATGCTTCAGAAACACATAGTACAGTTTTGTAAGTAACTTGAATAATTTCACTTAGGTTAATTTATCATGCACTTTTTTCTTTGTAAAGATTTTTTATTGATTTTTAGAGAGGGAGAAAGAAAAACATCAAGAGCGAGAAACATAGATTGAATGCCTCCTGCATGCCCCTAGGGCAGTGGTCGGCAAACTGTGGCTCGGCAAAACGAGGCTCGCGAGCCACATGGGGCTGTTTGGCCCCTTGAGTGTGGCTCTTCCACAAAATACCGGCTCTTCCACAAAATACTGACTTCTGCGCATGGGCCACAAGGTTTCAATAGCACTGTACATGCGCACCCGCACGTGGTATTTTGTGGAAGAGCCACACTGAAGGGGCCAAAGAGCCGCATGTGGCTCTCGAGCCGCGGTTTGCCGATCACGGCCCTAGGGAGATCAAGCCCACAATCCCCAGCATGTGCCCGGATAAGGAACCGTCAACTTTTCAGTACACGGGATGACACTCAACCAACCAAGCTACACCAGCCAGGGCTCTCATGCACTTCTATAATAAAGCATGTGACCACATAACACAGAAGGGAAGGTCAACTTGAACGACTGTGTTTGAAATATTCCAAAAGATTCTTTTATTAATTAAATATAAGCTTGAGTTTGAAACTCAAGATTTTTCTCATAAAACCGAAGATATAAACAATGGTATTAAACCCATAATACAAATTAACTTTAATGTACAATTCTATCAAAACACTCTTCTGTTAAGCATATTTCCAAACCATACTGTAAGTTTCTTACTGCTGTATCCTAGAATCTAACACAGTAGATGACACAGAGGATTTCAACAATACTCGCAGATTTGTATTGAATAACAACAACTCAATGATATGAAACCGAGTAGTCTAGAAAACCTTACCTATCTGAACTATAGCAGAGAACCAAAAAGCAAAGCAAGCGGGAAAAGATAAGAAAAAATTGCTAAGACTGAGGTTATAACACTCTGGTCTAAGTCAGTTGTGGCACTTTCCATTCCCCTTGCCAATGAGCGGTTTAGCAATACACATCTCATGCAATTCTGGCCAATAAGACAAGAGACTTAAGTTTACTGGGAGCTTCTGGGAAAGGTTTTCCTGGCTGATGAAAAAAAAGACACCCAGATGAAAACATCCATTTTTTTCTGAGCAACTGTGGGTTTGAATTTTTCAAGCAGAACTATGACAGCTATCTTAGGGCCATGAGGGAGGAAGCAGCCTCGGAGGCCAACCCAGCAGACACAGGGGCAGCACTGAGAGATGGAAAGAATCAGGTCCTTAGTGATGTTCTTATGCTCAGACAGATTAATCCTTGAGCCATTTTATTAACTTGGATTATTATATTATATTATATTATATTATATTATATTATATTATATTAATTATACTAGAGGCC